TCCATTTCATTCCATATTTTCTATTCTATTCTATTCTATTCTATTCTGTTCTGTTCTGTTCTGTTCTGTTCTGTTCTATTCTATTCTATTCTATTCTGTTGTACTCCATTCCATTCTGTATTTTATTATTCTACTCTGTTCTGTTTTCTTCTGTTCTGTTCTATTCTGTTCTATTCTATTCTATTCTGTTCTATTCTATTCTATTCTGTTGTACTCCATTCCATTCTGTATTTTATTATTCTACTCTGTTCTGTTTTCTTCTATTCTATTCTATTCTATTCTATTCTACTCTACTCTATTCTATTCTATTCTATTCTATTCTATTCTATTCTATTCTATTCTATTCCATTCCATTCCATTCCATTCCATTCCATTCCATTCTATTCTATTCTATTCCATTCCATTCCATTCTGTGTTTTATTATTCCGTTCTGTTCCTATTCTGTTTTGTTCTGTTCTACTCTATTCTATTCCATTATTAGGCTACTTTATTCTATTCTATTCTAATTATTTGGGTATGAAAACTGTGGTAAATCCTTCTGGGCTGTCAAATCCTTGGAATTTAATATTAAGAAAGGTGAATCTTACAGGCATGTGTGGTTAAATCTAAAAACTAGGATTATACAACCCCAGAAAGAAAGTTTTATCTGATTTGCATCAGTGGCTCCATAATGATTGTCAGCTTTTGGATTAAAAGAAAGGTGAGGTTGTCAACAAGGCAGAGAAGAAAACTTTTGAACAATACAGGATGCCCTTGAATTACAGCCGAATATAACTCTGCACTGGTGACAGGGAGGGGCATCCGGCCAGTAAACACTCAGCTGCATTCAGTTGCCCTGACTCCACCCCGATGCAAGGGATTACGGGGTCATTAAAAGACCCCAAAAATAGGGACCACTTGAGGTTAAAAGAGCACTGAAAAATTGACTTATGACCGTTTTCCACACTTATAACAGTAGAAGGATCCCCACGGTCACATGATCAAAATTCAGACACTCGGCAACTAGTTCGTATTGATGATGGTGGCCATGTCTCAGGGTCCTGCGATCTCCTTTTGCAACCTTCTGAAAAGCAGAATCAATGGGAAAGCCGGATTCACTTAACAGCCGAGTTACTAACTCATCAACTGAAGTGATTCACTTAACAACGGTGGCAAGAAAGGTAATCAAATGAGACAACACTCCTGTTAACAACTAACTCGCTTAGCCACATAAATTTTGGGCTCAAATGTGATCATAAGTCAAGGATTACCCTTGACTTGAATACAGGCAGTCCTAGACTTATGACCACAAGTGAGCCCAAACATTTATGTTGCTAAGTGAGACATAGACATAGAATAAACAGAGTTGGAAGGGACCTCGTTGGTCGTCTAGTCCAACTCCTTCCTCAAGCAGGAGACCCGATACCATTTCTGACAGTTGGCTGCCCAGACATTTTTTAAGTGAGTTCTGCCCTATTTTTTGCGACCTTTCTGGCCACCGTTGTAAAGTGAATCATTGCAGTTGTTCAGTTAGTAACATGGTTGTTAAGTGAACCTGGCTCCCCCATTGACTTTGCTTGTCAAAAGGGGACGCTGCAACCGTCATAAACGTGAGTCAGTGGCCAAGCACCTGAATTTCGATCCTGGGATGTCGCAATGGTTGTAAGAGTGAAAAATGGTCATAGGTCACTTTTTTTTTTCCTCCAATCTTGTAACTTTGAAAGATCACTAAATGAACTGTTGTAAATGAAGGTGTCAGGTCCGAAATTGACATATGTGTAGCCATTTTAGTTAGGCTTGGTATATATTCTTTTTCTTACTTTCTCTGTGGCAGTCATGGAAGGAAGGGTTTCAGGCTTGCCACATTCCTAAGGGGAGGAGGAGTTGAGATAGAGAGAGTTGTTTAGGCTAAGTGGTTCTCCTTCCCGTGGGAACAAATGCTGACCTTGCTCAGAACTGGAGGTGGAGATTGATGACACCAGGCAAATGTTGATTTACTTCTATTGGGCAAGGTGACTTTTGGGGGCTGTTTCTAACTTCCAATATTATGTGGTGTAATTCTGGGTTGTGTCAGATCTGGCATTACAACAGATGTTGCCAATTTGATGCTTTTCTAATTAAAATAATTTGTTTTGGAAGATGGACTTTGTTCTTTTTCTTTTTAAACGGATTTCATCCCTTGGAAACCTGACACAAGGACTGTCTGGACTTGGAAAGGGCTCCAGAATTGCATGTTTCGAGCTGAGAAGGTGCACAGAGCATGCTCAAAGGGCACAAATGATCAGAGGGCCTCGGTGGCACAGGGGTTAGAATGCAGGGCTACTTCTGCTGACTACCAGCTGCAATTGGGCAGATTGAATCTCACCAGGTTCAAGGTTGACTCGCCTTCCATCCTTCTGAGGTCGGTAAAATGAGACCCAGGTTGTTGGGGGGCAAGAGGCTGACTCTGTAAACCGCTTAGAGAGGGCTGTGAAGCCCTGTGAAGTGGTATATAAGTCTAAGTTCTATTGGAAGGAAGGAAGGAAGGAAGGAAGGAAGGAAGGAAGGAAGGAAGGAAGGAAGGGAGGGGAGGGAGAGATGGGAGGTAGGGATGGAAGAAAGAAGGAGAAAGGGAAGGGGGAAGGAAGGAAGGAAGGAAGGGAGGAAGGGAGAGAGGGAGAGATGGGAGGTAGGGATGGAAGAAAGAAGGAGAAAGGGAAAGGGGAAGGAAGGAAGGAAGGAAGGAAGGAAGGAAGGAAGGAAGGAAGGAAGGAAGGAAGGAAGGAAGTGGTGTGGTGCAGTTGTTAGAATGCAGTATTGCAGGCTAACTCTGCTGAATTCCAGCAGTTTGATCCTGACTGGCTCAAGGTTGACTCAGCCTTAGTTAGTGCTAAGTGCTAGTATTAAGAAGGAAGCAAAGGAAGGGAGGAAAGAAGGAAAGAAGGAAGTTCTCTTGGAAGGAAGGGAGGGAGGGAGGGAGGGAGGGAGGAAGGAAGGAAGGAAGGAAGGAAGGAAGGAAGGAAGGAAGGAAGGGGTGTGGTGACGTAGTGATGAGAATGCAGTATTGCAGGCTGACTCTGCTCATTGCCAGAAGTTCAATCCTGACCAGCTCAATGTTGACTCAGCCTTCTGTCCTTCCGAGGTCAGTAAAATGAGCACCAAATTGTTGGGGGGAAATAGGCCGACTCTGTAAACTACTCAGACAGGGCTCTAAAAGCACTGGGAAGCAGTATATAAGCGTTAAATTTTATTGCTGTTGCTGTTGTTCAGAAAGAGGAGAATTACTAACTACTAATTAGGATCTTCAACAGGCCCAGTCAGACACATCTGTCATTTTGGCTGCCCGTCCTATTTGCACTCAATTGTGCAAGAGAACCAAAGCTCCTTATTCCAAAACTCCACCTAGTGTCTTCTTGTGTACCTGAAAGTTGCCACTGTTTGAAACTCTAACTTGGGGGAAAGTTCTCAAAGGAGTATTTGAACTTTTTCAAAGAACCATTGGTCCAGATTAACAGAGTGGGAAGGGACCTTGTAGGTCATCTAGTCCAACCTCCCACCCAAGCAGGAGACCCTACACCATCTCTGACAGATGGCCGTTCAGTCTCTTCTTGAAAGCCTCCATTGATGAAGCTCCCACAACTTCCGAGGGCAACTTCTGTTCCATAGGTTGATTGTTCTCCCTGTCAGGAAATTCCTTCTTATTTCCAGGTTGAATCTCTCCTTGTTCGGTTTCCATCCATTGTTCCTCGTCTGGCCTTTGGGTGCCTTGGAGAATAGCTTGAACCCTTCCTCCTCTCTGTGGCAGCCCCTCAAATATTGGAAGATGCTCTCCTGTCTCCCCTGGTCCTTCTCTTCCCTAGACTAGCCAGGCCCGGTTCCTGCAACGGTTCATTGTATGTTTTAACCTCTAGTCCCCTCATCTTCCTGGTTGCTCTTCTCTGCACTCTTTCTAGAGTCTCAACCTCTTTTTTATAGCGTGGTGACCAAAACTGGATGCAGTACTCTAGGTGTGGCCTTACTAAGGCTTTATAGAGTGGTGTTAGTACTTCCCTTGATCTTGATTGCATCCCTCTGTTAATGCAACTTAGGATTGCATTGGCTTTTTTGGCTGCAACTGCACATTGTTGGCTCACCCAGTCCTCTTAAAGTTATCAAAGTTGAGAAACACAGTTTAACTCCACAGCTTGGACTTGGAGTTCATTCAAACCCAAAGATGTTGTTCACACCTTGTCCCTGGGGTGGCAAACAAGCCATCCATTTAGAATCAGAATCAAAATAGAGATGGAAGAGACCTTGGAGATCTTCTAGTCCAGCCCACTGCTCAAGCAGGAGACCCTATACCATTTCAACCAGATGGTTGTCCAATCTCTTCTTTAAAAACCTTCAGTGATGAAGCACCCACAACTTCTGGTGGCAAGCTGTTCCACTGGTTAATTGTCCTCACTGTTAGGAAATTTCTCCTTAATTCCAAGTTGTTTCTCTCCTTGATTGTTTCTTGTATTGCCTTCTAGTGCTTTGGAAAATAAGTTGACTCCCTCTTCTTTGTGGCATACTGGAAAACTGCTATCATGTCCCCCCTGGTCCTTCTTTTCTCTAGAGTAGCCAAACACAAATCTGCAACAGTTCTTCCTAAGTTTTAGTCACCAGGCCTTTAATATAATCTATTAAATATAATTATAGTCTAGCATGGTGTAATGCAAATTTCATCCACATCATTCATTCCTGGATCCGTGCATTATGAAAATCTAGACATTCTTCTTGACAAGTGCTAGTTAACCATGGTTAAGTCGAGGCTATACCTAGAACTGATCTGAAGACTTTCCAGTGAGAACGTAGTAATATAACCATGTTAATAGCACAAAATACAACTTTTCACTGTAAAAAACAATTCAGAGGTTCCTTGAGTGGGAGAAATAATCCTAGATACTTTTTGACATGAGATCCTAAATTTCAGTTGAGTGGGAGAAGAAATTGTAGATCATTTTGGATGTGGGACGCCACATTTCACAAGCTTCAATGGAATGGGAGAAGCTACCGTATAATATTTTTTTGATGCAAGACCCTAAATTTCACGACTTCTTTGAATGGGAGAAGCAACGGTAGACCATCTTCGATGAGAGGTCCTAAATTTCAGAATTTCTTTGAATGGGGGAAAGCTACGGTAGATCATTTTGGACATGGGCATGTCATGAATTGGAGCAATTCGACGAAGGATTTTGCTACTAGGTATATCTCTTAGCATTCGCCTATTTATAAAAACACAAGTTGCAAAATGTGGAGATGGGACTTATTCTAGAGAGTTCTGGATAAGTGGAGAAGATTTGGCTACATCTCTTCACCCTGTGTCCCTCTCCTGGAACCCCTACGAAGAGATGAAAGCCAAGAAGCTCCTGTCCTTCTTTGGTAACTTCTTATTCTTCTTCAAGTTCTGTCATCAGAAGAACTGGTCGGGACAATGGTTGGCCATTCCCATCACTGAGTGGCATTCTTCTCCCCTAGAGATCCCCAAATATTACACCAGGATCGTTGGCAGCAAGAGGTCCCAAATGAAGCAAAGCCCAACACCATGTGAAGATCTGGGCAAAAGGCCGAGCATCTCTTGGTGATTCTCTTTTTGAAGGTCATCATGCCTGAAGGATACAAGGAAGAAGCTGTAAGTGAGGTACATTGATACATATTGAGTACAAATGCTTCAACATGACGACAAGGGTTGAGAATTGAGTTCATTGACAGCAATTCCACCCAATTTGAAGACAATAACAGAGTTAGAAGGGTTCTTGGAATTCTTCTAGTCCAACCCCCGATCAAGCACAAAACCATATACCACTTCAGACAAAGAGTTGTCTAATCCAAACTGTTGGAAGTGTAAGAAAGAAAAAGGCACTTATTTTCATATGTGGTGGACCTGCCCAGAAGTGAAGAAATATTGGAACGTAATTCGACAGTGGCTAGAAGAAATTATAAAACAGAAAACTGAATCTAAACCAGAACTATTTCGATTAGGTATAATAACACAAACATATAATAAAAAGACAGATATATTATGTTACATATCTTAACAGCTGCGAGGATCTCTTATGCACAATTTTGGAAGCAGGAAAGAGTACCACCAGAGGGTGTTGTTATAAAGAAAATATTACATTGTATAGAGATGGACAGGCTAACATTGAAATTAAAAGATAAGGAAGATTCGATTTATTACGTAGTCTGGGACGCCTGGTATGAATGGTTTAAGAATAAAAAGAAATTAAAATGGCAATTAGGTAAAGAATGAGAAATTATGTAAAATATGTATAGGCATTATGGAGAAAATTGAAATATAAGATAAAATATATTGATTTGTAGCAAGAGTAAGGAAAGAAGTATGCAATGGTAATGGAATAAGAAATTATATATAAAAATGTAAGGAAATGTAAACGATGTCTTGATGTTGATACAACAACGTATAAAGTTTTATTGTAAGTTTTTAATATTTGAACATTGAATAAAATTTATTTTTAAAAAACAACATGGTTATGATTACATGAAATGGATACAAATAAAAAGGAAGCATTAGAACAGGGACAGTAGGCATGCTGGCGCGCTTATGCACGCCCCTTATAGACCTCTCAGGTCAGCTGAGGTCAACAGTAGACACTCTAAGGTTAAAGTTTTTGGAATTTGGGGAAGAAACCACAGAGTCAGGTAGAGTATTCCAGGCATTGACCACTCTGTTGCTGAAGTCATATTTTCTGTAGTCGAGTTTACAGCAGTTTACCTTAAGTTTGCATCTATTGTGTGCTCGTGTATTGTTGTGGTTGAAGCTGAAGTGGTCATCGACCGGTAGGACATTGTAATGGATAATTTTATGTACTATGCTTAGGTCAGACTGAAGGTGGCATACTTCTAGGTCAGGGGTGGGATTCAAATTTTTTTAACTACTGGTTCTGTGGGTGTGGGACTGGGTGGACATGGCTTGGTGGTCATATTATTGGCTGGGCATGGCCAACTCAATATCACTCATTTCAAGGCACATATCTCCTCGCCTGGCCTCTCATGACTGTGGGGATGCTGCAATAGTCGTAAGTGTGAAAAATGGTCATAAGTCACTTTTTTCAATAGTCACTCCACACAAGCAAAGTACCAGCAAAGGAGGGGAAAAAAACTCCAGAGAAGTTCCAGAGACAGGAAGTCTAGTCCTGCCAAGAATGTAATAAGGGTTAACAGAGAGGCAGTTTCTGTCAGCAACACCAGAATGTTTCCTTCCTGCCTTCCTTACAGGATTAGGCCACTAATTTCTTCTAACAACCAGTTCTCCAAATTGCTTAGGTTCTAAGCAAAGCACCTATTTTCTAGAACCGGTTGTTAACATTCTAAGCCAGTGGTCGGGGAACAGGGGTAAATTACCCCAAATGGGGTAAAAGTGAAAATCTGGGGGTAATGAGGAGGTTGCGCTGGCCAATGGCGGAACTATCGGCATAGCAGCAGTTATTAAAACACCCTTGAGGCAAATTTATCCCCTCCACCCCACCCTTGTTTCCTGGGTCGGAAATGACTCCAGGCTAGATTCTGCAAGAGCCGCGCCGCCCGTTTTTTAGGGGAAGGCGAGCTTCTGGCATAGGGCAGAGCATTTTGGGAAAAGGGACGCTTTCCCCCGCGCTGCGATGACCGCACGCTTTTCGCGCGCAGTTTGTGTCACCGTGGCTCCCAAATATCATCCTCCCTTCCCGCTTCCTCGCCCCCAGGCCCTGCCTGCCTGCCAACTAGCCAGCCAGCCCGGCTCCCTCCCCGAAGCCTCTCATCACTGCCAGGCACACAGGAAGCGAAGAGGCACCTGCAACTGCCGCCTTGGCCCCGAGAAAATTCCCAGAAGCCCTCGGGGAGCCTGGTGACATTTCATTCCCTGGAGCGAGCTATCCCGCCTTCTTCCCAGCCGCGGGGGGGGGGAGGGCACCTCCTCCCGCCTCGACCTCCAAATTATGTGTCAGCAGCCTGAGGTGGCCGGGGAGGGGGAGAGGCCGGGAGGGGTAACGTCTGCGTTTATAAATTTTTTGGGGGGTAAGAGGTAAAAAAGTTCCCTGACCCCTGCCTTAGAATATTAACAACCGGTTCTAGAAAATAGGTGCGAACTGGCAGAATCCCACCCCTGTTCTAAGTTGTCTAAGCCCAAAATTTCAAGTCTGGTGATATAAGGTATTCTGTTATGAGTAGAGGAGTGGAGGACTCTTCTCGTGAAATACTTCTGGACTCTCTTGATTGTATCAATGTCCTATATGCAGTGCGGTTTTCAGACAGATGAGCTGTATTCGAGTATTGGTCTAGCAAAGGTTTTGTATGCTCTAGTTAGCAGTACAGTATTACCAGAGAAGAAGCTATGCAAGATTAGGTTAACGACTGTTAATGCCTTTTTGGCAATGTTTGTTACAGTGGGCTCTGGCACTTAGATCATTAGAGAGAAGTACTCCAAGGTCCTTGTGATGAAGCACCACAATGTCTGGAGGCAACTTCTGTTCCACTGGTTAATTGTCCTCACTGTTAGGAAATTCCTCCTTAGTTCTAGGTTGCTTCACTCCTTGATTAGTTTCTACCCATTGCTTCGTGTCCTGCCCTCAGGTGCTTAGGAGAATAGCTTGACTCCCTCTTCTTTGTGGCAGCCCCTGAGAGATTGGAACACTGCTTATCATGTTCCCCCTAATCCAGGGGTGTCAAACTTGATTTCATTGAGGGCTGCATCAGGGTTGTGATTGACCTCGGGGCGTGGCCATCTCAATGTCACTCATTGAGGTTCTGTTTTCATCCATGATGGCCCTCCCGGGCTCCGTTTTTGCTGGCCGAAAGTTGCAGGAGACCATCACGGCCCAAAATGGAGCCCGGGAGGACTGTGCACAACCCTCCCAAGCTCCTGGGCCTTGAGTTTGACACCTCTGCCCCAGTCCTTCTTTTTATTAGGATGAGGGGTAACATGATAGTCATCTTCCAATATTTGAGGGGCTGCCACAAAGAAGAGGGGGTGGTCAGGAGTGGACTAGTTGGTGATGGGTTTAGAGAAGTCAACCGCTCTATGAAGAATGATGAAAATAACTGAGGGGTGTTTAGTTTAAGGAAGAGAAGACAGACATCTTCCAATACTTGAATGCACCAGCGAACAGGAGCCACTGGTCCAGTTCTACAGAGGAATGATTGTGTGTGTCATCGGCACCTCTATAACTGTCTGGTTCGGTTCTGCAATCCAACAGGACAATCACAGACGCCAGAAAGTAATTAGGACTGCAGAAATAAAAACCAATAGCTACCAACCTGCCTTCCAGGGAGGACCTGTATACCCTGCACGAGTCAAAAAGAAGTGGAATATTGTGTCTCCTGGAGCCATTGCAATCCTATCCTCGGAGAATTTTATACACGAGTGGTTTTAGACTTACAGCAGTTCACTTAGTGACTGTTTGAAATTACAAGAGCATTGGAAAAAGTGACTTAAGACTGCTTGTCCCACTTACAACTATTGCAACGTTTCTGTGACCACATGCTCAAAATTCAGACAATTGGCAACTGACTCGTATTTATGGCAGTTGCAATGTGCCTTTGGTGACCTGGCAAGAAAAAAGTTCATAGGGAAGCCAGATTCACTTAACGACCAGGTTACTAACTGAACTGCAGTCATTCACTTAGAAAAGTTATCAAATGGAGCAAAATTCAATAAACAGCTGCCTGGCTTAGCAACAGGCATTTTGGTCATAAATTGAGGACTAACTCTTACAGATTGAGCATCCATTTGTCCAACACAGCTTGGGATTCTTATCTTGGGTAGGACATAAGATCAGTATAGTTCCTTCCAATTCTGTTGAACTTTGGACAACAGCTGTAAACGTTGTGAAAAGATGTATCACTCACGTCACAACTTTAAGCCAAATCCCTTGAGCCAAAGGCTGCATTATCCAAACTGGTTGCACCAACCTGGTTAAAGCCATAAGAACATTAGCCTGGAGCATGAATGTGAGACTCTCTGCCCATTAGTGGGTCAGTGGATTACATTTGCACAAGGAATCACCAGTGGTTTCAGAAGACCTGAGAAAATAGGAATAGCACTTATACACCGCTTCGCGGTGCTTTTACAGCCCTCCCTAGGCAGTTTTACAGAGTCAGTGTCAACTCAAAAAATACTCCTTTGGTTTTTTTTAGTTGCCAGCAGAAAGGGAGTGGGGTAAGTAGCGCATTCCTTAAATGCTTCATAGATAATCTCTAAGCGACCGAAGCTTCTGGCACGCAAGATTATTACCGGAGAGCATGACTGATGACTCTTGGCTATGGATGTGTCCCATTGGAGAATATACATCAAGGTTGCGGGATGAAGACCAGGGTCAAGGGGGAAATGAATGACGTGTCTCAGAGTCGGCTACACCCAGGTAGCACCGGCATGTCCACTCCTAATAAATATTCTTTAAGATCTGGCTAGAGACTCGTGATTTTAATGGGGGTGGATGCCGGAGCCCTGACAGCCAGCATATTAGCCCCAACTATCTGGGTCCTCATTTTACCGACCTCAGAAGGAGGGAAGCAGAGACGGGCTGCTACCGTTTTGCATCTGGTTCGCCGAACTGGTAGTTGCAATGACTGGCTGGCGCCGCCCACCCTGCCCAGCCCCTCCCAGGAGTCTCCACGTGGTAAGTGCAGGGCCCACGTGGAGGCTAAGGTAGGGCAAAAAACAGGCCTGCAAGAGGCTCCGGAGGCTGGAAACAAGCTCATTTCTGGCTTCCAGAGGGCCTCCGGAGCCCGGGGAGAGTGAAAACAACCCACCCACCTACTCCCCTGCCATGGTGCAGGAGGCTGACGAGGCCACGCCTACCATGGCCACACCCACCCAGCAACCGCTGGTTGATAAAAAATTTTGAGGCCCACCCCTGGATGGAGTAAACCTTGAGCCGGTGAGAATTGAACTGCCGAACTGCAGGCAGCTGGCGGTCTGCAGAATTAGCCCGCAATACTGCACTCTAACCGCTGCGCCACCACAGCTCAAAAAAATAACCCCAAACCATGGTTCTTGCAAAGGATTTAGAAACACAAACGCCATCTAAATCAACCAGGCCATCGTGCGCCTTTCACGCTTTCCCACAACCCCCGAGAGATATATTCCCTGGCCTCTTGGGAATGTGAGATGGAAAGGTGCATATACTATATTAAAATATAGTAATTTGTACTATATTATATAGAATATTTGTAGCTCAGGGCTGAACTCTGAAGTCCAGTGCAGAGAAGAGCAAGAAGGATGACTAAGGAACTGGAGACCAAAACATATGAAGATATTGCGTATCTTTAGTTGAAGGCTAAGGGGTGGCGTGATAGCAGTCTTCCAGTATCTCAGGGGCTGCCCCAAAGAAGAGGGAGTCAAGCTATTCTCCAAAGCCACTGAAGGCAGGACAAGAAGCAACGGGTGGAAACTCCTCAAGGAGAGAAGCAACCTAGAACTAAGGAGGAATTTACTGACAGGGAGAACAATTAATCAGTGGAACTGCTGGCCTCCAGAAGTTGTGAATGCTCTGGAGGAGAAAGAAGAGATTGGCTAACCATTTGTCTGAAACGGTATACGGTTTCCTGCCTAAGCAGAGGGCTGGACTAGAAGACCTCCAAGGCCCCTTCCCACTCTGCTATTCTGTTATTCTATAGGTGCTCAACATAGAACATAGGGCTGAAAGGGACCTCAGAGCTTTTCTAATCTATCTGGTATCTTCTTCTGCCTTGGATCCATATAATCTCTCTCTCTCTCTGTCTCTCTCTTTCCTTCCCTCCCTCCCCCTCTCACTCAATCCCTCTCTCTCACTCAATGCTGCTCTCTCCCCCCTTCCTTCCTCTCTCCCTCCCTCCTTCTCTTTTTCTTTCCTTCCCTCCTTCACTCCCTCCCTCTCTTCCCCCTCCCTGTCTCTCTCCCTTCCTCCCTTCTCCTCTCTTTCTTTCCTTCCCTCCCTCCCCTTCTCCCTCCCTCCCTCCCTCTCATTCACTCTCTCCTTCCCCTCCCTCCCTCTCTCTCTCTGCAGCTGCCCTGCCTTTGGAGTAGGGCAACCCTACTGATGCCAAACAACTGATGCCCAGCCTACTTTCACCCCAACCGGTCAGCAACCAGCTGCCTGAAGCTCACCAAATTCATATGAGGCCACAGCGGTCACGCAGAACACTTCTTCCTCACTGCACTCTCTGAAGTGGAGACACCGCAGGTTGGTGCGCTGGTTGTCACACACAAAGCAGGTCAGTGGGGAAACTGCAGAAGGCAAGGAAGGAAGGAAGGAAGGAGAGGAACGAGAAAAGAACATTTCAGCTCTGGAAAGAGACATCTGGCAAATATCCTTGCCCAACGTTTCCACATGTGGTTTGGCCTCTGAATCCCCCAACGGAGTATAAAAGCTTTAACTTGAAACTTTTCAGTTTTTGCTTATTGGTCAAAATCAATAATTTATATTGTTATTGTACTTTCAAGGAAGATCAGCAGTTAAAGATGCCAAATTTGTCAGCTGGGAAGCTGATAGGCTATGTTTGAGACCAGAGCGCCATGAGCTGGGGTAAGCTCCAGGTCTTTTCCCACCTAGGCGTTCGAAGGCACGAAAATGCGAGTAGATAAATAAGTACCCCTTTGGTGGGAAGATAACAGCATTCTGTGTGCCTTTCGTCACATACTTCTGCTGCAGCCAGCCTGCCTACCATTCGGCAGTTCGAATCTCACTAGGCTCAATGTTGACTCAGCCTTCTATCCTTCCAAGGTCAGTAAAATGAGGACCCAGATTGTTGGGGGCAAGAGGCTGACTCTGCAAACCACTAAAGACAGGGCTGTAAAGCACTATAAAGTGGTATATAAATCTACCGGCTATTGCTATTCCTTCCTTCCTTCCTTCCTTCCCAGCAGTTAGAATGGAGTATTTCATGTTGTGACTAGGAGGTTTGAACCTACTCTGTCAGAAGACATAGGCTCGAGTGATGAGGAAGATCTGGCATTAAGGTTTGAGCCTGTCTTGTTGAGTGACACAAATGGGAGTCAGGAGGAGGATAGGGCATTGGGTTTTGAACCTGCTTTGCTGGAAGTTTCGGAATCCTCATCCTCTCCCGGACCTTCCTCATTAATTACACCTGTGTCGGCAGATAATCAGGAGAACGTGCCAGAGCCCTTGGATGAAGATCAAACCGAAGAATCTTGGTTTGATGCAAGGAACAGACGTAAGCAGAAACGTCAAGCACAAACTGGAAGGAGACATCGAATCTGAGTAAGAGACTGACACGCCCCTTCAGGAAATATAAGGAGGCGTGTTAGCTCTGGAGCCCTGTTCGGATCAACTTGTTGATTTGTGTTTGCAGTTGGACAATTTATCCTGTTTGGAATTCGTCTCTGATTTATAGTGCTGCTCGTTATCATAATTGGCTGACAGCTTCTGGGAAAACTGCCAACGACGAATTTAGTCAAAGGAAAGTTAACTCTGTTATTCCTGGTTTCTTCTGTTTGTATATTTTACTTTGGACATTTGGACTCTCACCTCGTGGCCACAGGTGAGACAGAACAATTTCAGGTTACTCTGCCCACTGCCAGCAGTTCAATCCTGACCAGCTCGAGGTTGACTCAGCCTCCCATCCTTGCAAGGTCAGTAAAATAAGGACCCAGATTGTTGGGAGCAAATAGGCTGACTCTGCAAACCACTTAGAGAGGGCTGTAAAGCACTGCAAAGCGGGATGTAAGTCTAAGTGCTACTGCTATTGCTATAATTGGTAAATAGCGTTGTTATGTGATCATTTGTGCCTCCGTGACAATTTGTTACTTCCAGTGAGGACATTGTGAGCTACCTGTCCCTGTGGGAGCGAGGATGACATTACAGCAGAGATCAGCAGACAGAGAATGGATACTGGCTGCTGAAATCTCATGGGAGTGCCCATATGTACTCCAGAAAGCTGTTCCTTAAAAGGTGACAGTAAGAACTGAGGTATTTGCAGTCTACTGGTGACCCAAGCAGCTGCGATACAACAGATTCCAGCTAGGCTCACAGTGGTAACGTAGCCTCTAAAGACATAAAAGTCATTTTTTCCGGTGAACAGGGAAAATTATTGTTTCATGTAAAACCACTTTTTTATACTATTTTTTTGGTTATTTTTTCATATTTTTCTATCTTTTCTGTATTATTTTTACTTTACTAGACAAAAGAACAGTTTTTTCCTGAACGCCATCACTCTGCTAAACAAATAATTCCCTCAACACTGTCAAACTATTTACTAAGTCTGCATTACTATTACTATTAACCCTCCTATCCTTCCTTTCACTCATCTCCTGTTACTGTATGACTGTAACATTGTTGGTTGTATCCTAACTATTTTTATTGACTGGTCCCTAGTATGATTTGATTGCCTATTGTACCCTATGACTATCATTAAGTGTTGTATCTGATGAGTCTTGACGAATGTATCTTTTCTTTTATGGACACTGAGAGCATTTGTACCAAAACAAATTCCTTGTCTGTCCAATCATTGGCCAATAAAGAATTTTATTCTATTCTATTCTGTTCTATTCTATTCTATTCTTTGCATTAGATTTCTTGTTTTTTATTGTAATACTTGTTAAAGTTTTTTTTAATCTATGTCAAAGTTTTCAAGTTGAAGAATTTCAGATTCGTACATGAAGAAAAAGGGTGGACTTGTTTTCCTATAAACGGCTTCCCCCAATCACATAGTTATAGCCTTTGAGAAGATTCTTGAGAGTCTTCGACTTGGACTGCCTGGAGGTCCAATCAATCAATCAATCAATCAATCAATCAATCCTAAAAGAAACCAACCCTGACTCTTGGAAGGACAGAAACTGAAGCTCAAATACTTTGGCCACCAAATGGAAAGAGAGGACTTGGAAAAGACCCTGATGTTGGGGAAAGATGGAAGGAAAAAGGAGAAGAGGATGGCTGAGAAGGAGATGGTTAGATAGTATCATCTACGCAAGCAACGTGAATTTTGGGCAAACTCTGAAAGACGGTGGAGGACATGAGATCCTGCCATGCTATGCTCCATGAAGTCGGAAAGACTTAGCAACTGAACAACTGGTAGAACTGGAACCTTTGAAATGTTCTACCCTTCCCAATACATAATGCTTCCAAATAAAATATAGGTCAATGAACAGATCAAAACTAGAGTTGGGTAACTTGATCAGTGCCAGAAGGTAATTTTGGCATTTGATCTCTGTTGGTCCAGTAGTGATGGGCTTACCTTCATTTTTAAGCAGAAGCAGCAGGCCAAGAACGACAAGGTAGGTCTTCATGGTTGGAGGTTCTCCTTCTTCCTTGACACCCTCAAGTGAACCTTGGAGGACCTGATGAAGCAGTGGACGTGCCTTCTCCAAAAGAACTGGGACATTTGGGAACAATGATATACATGTCTACAGGTGAGTCGCCTTGCCTTCCCCTTTGGGAGGTTCAACTAAGAAGATCGATGGTTGCCTCCAGCAGAACAGGTGTGGTAAAACATTTCTAACATTTGGCAACACTTTCTCCACCATCAAAAGCTCCTCCTCCTTACCCTGTCACTTCTCTACCTAGGGAAAGTCACTGGCTGGTGGAAGATCACCTGAAGAGCACTGGATTTGCAAGGCACATGGATCAAAGGCACTCATGTTCCTGCCAACGTGACTGCTACTCGTGATGCAGGATCTGCTGAACTGTTTACCCAGAAAGTCGGGCCCAAATGTATGGACTGATTTACGTGTAAGTGTTGAGGAGACAGAGAAGAGGCTTGTAAATATCTTTACCCTCCAAAAGTAAAGCCCTACACTTAGGCAAGAAAAACCCAAAGGACACATCTAGACTGGGTGAAACCAGGCTCAATAGCAGGAACTGGGAGAGGGATCTTGGAGTCTTAGTGGACAACCAGGATCTTGGAGTCTTAGTGGACAACCAGCTAAATAGGAGCCCAACAGTGTGCAGCGGCAGCCCAAAAAGCCAATGCAACCCTTAATTGCAGTAACAGAAAGATATGATCAAGATCAAGGGAGGTGCTAATACCACCATTAACCAATGGAATAGCTTGCCACCAGAAGTTGTACGTGCTTCATCACTCAAGGTTTTTGAAGAAGAGATTGGACAACCATCTGGTTGAAATAGTATAGGGTCTCCTCCTTGAGCAAGAGGCAGGACTAGAAGATCTCCAAGGTCCCTTCCATCTCTATTTTGATTCTGACTTTAAATGGATGGCTCGTTTGCCACCCCAGGGACAAGGTGTGAATAACATCTTTGGGTTTGAATGAACTCCAAGTCCAAGCTGTGGAGTTAAACTGTGTTTCACAACCTTGATAACTTTAAGAGATCTGGATGAGCCAACAATGTGCAGCGACAGCCAAAAAATCCTAAATTGCATTAACAGAGGGATACAATCAAGATCAAGGGAAGTACTAACACCACTCTATAAAGCCTTAGTAAGGTCACACCTAGAGTCCTGCATCCAGTTTTGGTCACCACACTATAAAACAAGATGTTGAGACTCTAGAAAGAGTGCAGAGAAGAGCATCCAGGATGATTACGGGACAGGAGGCTAAAAGATACGATGAATGGTTGCTGGAATTGAGTATAACCAGTGTAGTGAAGAGAAGGACCAGGGGAGATATGATAGCAGTATTTCCAATATCTGAGAAGCTGCCACAGAGAGGAGGGGGGTCAAACTTTTATCCAAGGCACCTGAAGGCCAGACAAGGAACAATGGATGGAAACTGAACAAGGAGAGATTCAATCTGGAAATAAGGAGAAACTTTCTGACAGTGAGAACAGTCAACCCATGAAACAGAAGTTGCCTTCGGAAGTTGTGGGAGCTTCATCACTGGAAGTTTTCAGGAAGAGATCTTTCGGAAATGATGTAGGGTCTCCTGCTTGGGCAGAGGGTTGGATTAGATGACCTACAAGGTCCCTTCCATCTCTGTTAATCTGCATCTGTATCTTCTCATAGTCCAACCCCAAGCAGGAAGCCATACACCATCCTGGACAAATGCTTATCCAGTCTCTTCTTATGACCTACAAGATCCCTTCCAACATTGTTGAACTGTATCTATATCTACATTATCTGCTCTTCATCAAGGATCTCTTAAAGTAACCGAGAAGGATTACTTGGATGGATCCAGGGAATAGGGGTAGTTCTCAACTTGCAAACATTTGTTTAATGACAATCCATTCCTTGGACCTTATCTCAAGAATGGCGACTCTTTGCAGGCATGGGAGGTTGCTTTTAAAAAAAAGAATCATACAACTCCAGAAAGAATGTTTGACATCTGCTTTGCCTCAGTGGCTACATAAATGATTGTCAACTTTTGGATTTAAAAGAAGGGTGGGTGTGTTTGTTTTCAACAACAGGGCAGAGAAGAAAAGCTCTGGACTTACAACTGTTCCTTTGGTGACCGTTTGAAGTTGCAGTAGCCCTGGAAAAAGCAACTTATGGCTGTTTGTCACGTTTATCTCATTCATGTTTACGTAAACCAGAGGTAGTATTCAGTAGGTTCTGACCAGTTCTGGAGAACAGGTCGTGGGAATTTTGAGTAGTTCAGGGAACCGGTGGCAACCTTCCCCTAGGAGTGGGAATGGAGATTTTGCAGTATCCTTCCCCTACCATGCCCACCAAGCCACACTCACAGAACCAGTAGTAAAAAAAAATTGAGTCCCACCACTGACATAAACGTGAAAAACAGATGCTTTCTTGAAATTCTGGGAGTTTTTAAGTGCACAAGTCATTAAGGGGTCATCCTTCCTCAGTTCTGCTCCAGAGGCAGCCGGGCAAAATCTCTTCCCATGTTTGTAGAGATTTTCAGTCCTCCAGGTCATGGTTGTCCCAAATCCCTAGATGACCTGGAGGACTGAGAATCTCTAGACTTTTAGCTATACAATTTGGGATGAACACCCTTGGAGTGGTGCGGGAGTAGAAATGGATTTCCAGAGGGGGCGGAAATTGCAGACTACAAGAACCAGGAGCATCACTCAGGAGACTCTGAGGATGCAGAGAAACTTCCAAGTGGCCTCAACGACCCTCTAAAAGGATGCAAATAACCAACTGTCTGCAAGGAGAATAAATCCTTCCGTTCTCCACCATCCGGTCAGAAGGGAAGAAGCTTCATGGATGAGGAGTGAAACGTCTTTAAATAAAAACCAGAAAGTCCAGTTTCCTCTTGAAAAAACACCTTTGGGACAACCAGAAAATCTCTACGGACTTTTAGCTATACAATTTGGGATGAACACCCTTGGAATGGTGTGGGAGTAGGAATGGATTTCCAGAGAAAAAATTGTGGACTACAGGAACCATTAGCACCACTCAGGTGACCCTGAGGACACAGATAAACCTCCAAGTGGCCTCAATAGTTCTCTAAAAGGATGCAAATGACCAGCTGTCTTCAAGGAGTATAAATCCTCCCATTCCTCACCATCCAGTCAGAGCAGAAGAAGCTTCTTGGATGAGAAGTGAAACGTCTTCAAAAGAAAACCCAGAAAGTCCAGTTGCCTCTTTAAAAAAGCACCTCTGGGACAACTGAAGAGATCAACAAACTTCCAGGTGGCCTCAACGACCCTCTAAAAGGATGCAAATGACCAGCTGTCTGCAAGGAGTATCAATCCTTCCATTCCCCACCATCCTGTCAGAGCTGAAGAAGCTTCTTGAATGAGAAGCAAAACATCTTCAAAAGAAAAAATAAGAAAGTCCAGTTGTCTCCTGAAAAAGCACCTTTGGGCTCTCCCCAAGTTGTTATACCTTTTTCCCTGTACCAATTGGACATATTCTGTCTTGCATCCACCCTCAGCCTTAACTCTGCTTCTTAAAATAAGCGAACCAGAAATATGGTGGTAGAAATATGATGGCGGCAACAGAAACGGACACTTAATGAAGTTTTCTAGATCAAAGTGTTGCTTCAAAGGCTTTCTGTTCCAACGTTTTCCTCTCCAAATTTTAGTTACGGGAGAGTCACCTTCTGTTGTTCGCATGTTTTAGCCTCTAGTCCCCTAAGTTTTGTCTTTGTTGCTGTTCCCTGCACTCTTAAGATCTTTTTTTTTTACATTGTGGTGACCAAAATTGGTTGCAGAATTCCAAGCGTGGCCTTAACAAGGCATTATAAAGTGATATGAACACTTTACGTGATCTTGAGTCTGCTAATGCGGCCTAGGACTGTGTCGTTTTTGGGGAGGGGGGGAGAATCTCCTTGGAAAGATCTCCAAAGAGATCAGGGTGAGGAAGAAATCTACAGAGGGTCAGAAAAGGTTTGAATTGTATTGAGCTTGGTAGGGCCACATTCCCTCTGGGTAAGGAGTTCACACACCCTGGAAGGATGCAATTCAACCCCTTATAATTGCACATTCAGTGACGTGGAGGAAGTAGTGACGATTTGAGAGATATCGGAGATTAAACCGGCCATACAATTAAGAATTGCAGCACGTTCTGAACTCGTTCTGGAGAGCATTACCGGTCAGAGTTGAAATTTCTATTCCTTAGCATTTGGGCAGGCTTCTTCCAGAGAACATGACATCCTGGGTTTTGCCTTTTACCATCACCAAAATTACTCTACCGTAAGTAAACGTTGGTTGCCAAGCAGTTGGAAGGTTGATCGAGCAACTGTGAGGATGCTGGGACGATTTTGTGAGGAACCGTGTAACTTCTGTCATGGAACGAATGGTTGTGAGTAACATTATATACCCTCTACTTAGTTGTTTTGTGTTGGTTTTTCTTCTTCTTTCCCCTTTGTTCCTTTTTTCCCTTCCCTATCCTTCCTACTTTCACTTTCCTTCCTTCCTCTCCCTTCCCTCCTTCCTCCCTCCCTTCTTTCTCAAGATCAACCTCTCTTTCACCCTTTCTCTTTCTCCCTCTCAAACTCCCTCCCTTCCCTCTTCCTTCTCTTTCCTTCCCTTCCTCTTAAATTCCAGACTTCCCTCTTTTTTTCCTTCCTTCTTCCTATTGTTCCTTCTTTCCTTCCCTCACCATTTATCCTTCCTTCCCGCTCCCTTCCCTTCCTTCTTCCTCCCTTTCCATTTTCTTCCTCCCTTCCTCTTCCTACTTTCCTTCCTTCCTCTCAAACTCAACCTCCCCCCCTTCCTTTTCCTTTCCTTCTTTCCTCTCCCTTCAATTCCAGACCTCCCTCACCCTTCCTTCCCTTGTTTTTCCTTCCTTCTTCTCTCCCTTTCTTCCTATTGTCCCTTCCCTGTCCTTCCCTCCCCCTTCCCTTCCCTCTTCTTCCTGCCTTTCCTTCCTTCCTCTCAAAACTCAACCTCCCTCCCTCCCTTTTCCTTTCCTTCCTTCCTCTCCCTTCCGTTAATTCCAGACCTCCCTCACCCTTCCTTCCCTGTTTTCCTTCCTTCCTGCTTCCCTCTTCCTCTCTGCCTCGGTCCTTCCCTCTCACCATTTATCCTTCCTTCCTTCCTTTCCATTTCTTCCTCCCTCCTCTTCCCTTCCCTTGCACTCTTGCCACCAAATAGGGCAAGAGAGCCCCTTGCAGGCTCAGATAAAAGGAACCACAATTTTTGACTTTCTCCGAGAATAAGACCAAACCACCTCAGATGCTGCAAATTCACATGCCCTCTTGTGGCGACAGGTTGAATCACACCAAGAAGAAACCAAGAAACTACCCGAATCTTTTCAAACACCATTTTAATTGGTTGCAAGAAATGTTAGAAAAACACGTCAATCCAAGGAAAAACTCTTTGTCCTGCGATTGATCTTAAAAAACAAATACATTTAAAAATTGATCCTCCATTGAACAAGCCAAAAGAAAGACACAGTCCCAAAAACTGTCCAGGGACAGTATACACTTCTTTAAAAAAAATAAAAAAATAAAGGCCCTAGAATTGGAATCGAATAAAACCACCTAGAGTTTCTGGGAAAATAGCAGCAGAAGAGTTTTATTGCAATATGTTACGACATATATTACAACAGATCTTCTCTTGTTATTCCCGTTGTATTACAGGGTTCGCAGGAGGATAAAAAAAATCAATACACATGATAAAATTATTGTAGTGGCAAATTCATATGAAAATATTCAAAGTGCAAATTCCGTGCTCTGAAACATTCCACACTGTTTCCTTCACATAGTGATGGAAATAAGATATTCAAATACTGAACTGTGCAAAATTTTATTTTAATAAGTAAACCCCTTAGCCGCTTTCTTGACTGGACTCTGGTGCATTCAGCCAAAACCCCAAACAAAACTGGCACTTAAACTTTTAAGCATGCTATACCCAAAGTGACACCTCCTTCTGTCTTGGATACAAGTGTCCATCACCCCCAATCAGCAGCATTCATTCCTATGATGGCCACTGAACTAGAAAAAGTTTATTATTATTTTTTCTCTTATGCTTTACCAGGTAAGCAAACTGATTCTGGAGCGAATTCTTTTCCGTTTTGATTAACAGCCCATAATCAGAAACTCAAATATTATTTGTTTTGTAATGCCACCTTATCTTGTTCTCAGAAAAACACCCAATAAACCTGAAAGTGTCCCTAGAAAGATCTAAGAATACTTTTAATCACTGGGGGCACCAACCTCAAGGGCTGAATTAAGGAAACAGAATTGAAATAAGGCACGTGTGTGCCCACAAGTAAAACTGATGAATGTTTAGTCTGTGGCATTGAAACGTTTTAACCCTACAATTGCCACCGCCCTCCTTTTTGTGGGAAGATTATCAACCTGGACTCATTAGATGACCCAGAATATTAATTCTGCAGGGAACGGAGCCATTAGTAGATTCCACCTACTAATGGTTCCAGATACACTCTGGAATTCGTCACTCAAGAAGTTGGTAGTCTAGACCAGGGTTGAGTAACTATGGCCTCTTTACGATCTGTGGACTTCAACTCCCAGAATTCCTGAGCCATGCTGAGGTGAAAGGGTCATAGTTGCGTAACCCTGGTGTAAATGTTGTGTCTTTTGTTGGTTTGAAAGTCTAGCATTTGCTACACTGTGTACTAAACCAAACCATCATAGTCTGGCCATGAATTGCAGATGTTTACTGCTAATCTGGCCATGAATTGTAGATGTTCATGGTAACATCTACAGATCTTTCCTGACTGGAATAATTTTGCACAGTGACTACTACAAATACTCGGTGACAAATTTAACTTCTCGTTAGTGTGTGTGCCAAAACTGTGTGTAGAACAGTCTTGAGTTACTCTTCTTCTAATCCAGATTTTTGAAGGCACCTCTGCTGGCATCTTGACCAAAGTCCAATTAAGGATGGAGGGATCTCCCTCTGTGTCTTTTCTCCCAAAAGAAGCCACTCAGCTGGTTCTAGCTGATGTTTGAGATTCCCCACTAAAGGGTGAGGACTTCAGGTGGTTGAGGAGCACCCAAGGAGGAGGAAAGTTAGAAAATGCATCACATGGCATACAAGTCTCATTTCTTCCTGGGTTCCATGTGTCTCCTCAAAGTATTAGAAGACAACATTGAATGAGCCAAGGGAACATGACGGTGATACGTCTTTCCCTGCACTAGAGATCCTCTAGATGTAACAAATTGTTCCAAAGATCTTTAGCTCCTTTCTTTTGTGTTGGTGGTCCACCATATCTCAAGGACATCAAGAACTTGGCCTTCAACGAACAGCGGTGTACAAGAACTCAAGAAGTTGAGTTTTACAATACATTACCCAACCTAACTTTCCAATTCATGAGGGGCTTTTCCTAAAAGTCTTGGGGAAAGAAGCTGAAGGTTGAGTTCAAGGGTCTTCAAACTTGGCATGTTTAAGACTTGTGGACTTCCACTCCCAGAATTCCCGAGCTAACGTAACTGGAGGAGGAGGAATTCTGGGAGTGGAAGTCCACAAGCCTTAAAGCTGTTGAGTTTGAAGACTCCTGGTTTAGTTCAAGACAGTTGGATCTTCTCGTGCCGCGACCATCCCTGAGAAACCGAGAAGAGGAAGCTATGAGAACACTGACTAATCCTGTTCCAGAACTATTCTTCTTGTGAGCGGTCCAGCATCCTCACAGACCAGGATGGAGAACCAATGCTACTCATAAATAAATAAAGGAGGACGGTCCCCCTTTTACACGGAAGTAGGAAAAACAGGCTCTCCGTTCTCCTTTAGATGTATTTTGTAGGCGCAAAACAGCCCTCCCTGCTAGTAAAGGCACACAAAAACATGCCAACGAGCGGCCCCACAACAAGCCGGGAATAGCCTAGATCCCTTTAGAATACAAAATCTTCCTCCGCCATCGCAATGGCCCACGCAAACTTCTCTCGCTGAGTTTTGTTGTACACCTTTTCGACGGGCACATCAAACCGCTTGCACCTAGAGTCAAGGAATGCAGAAGAGAAGGAAGGACACGCGTCAGCATCAAAGCCGAACTGGAGGAGGCAATTAAAGGATCATAACAGGATCAACGGCAAGACGTTGATCCCGATGGGCACTTCTATTTTAAGCAGTTCTCTCAAGATTGCTAGGATTTTGATCAGGTTTAACTGAATTCAAGGGAGGTTGGATTTTGTTTGTGGCTATGTGGGGATTCTAGGCCGATTCCTCTTTTGACTCCACCCCCCTCTGATTCTGCCACTCATCCTCCTACATAAATAGCTCAAATTCCACAAACCTTGAGCAACTGTCCAACTGTTTCTTAGGTTTCTTAGGTTGGGGGGGGGGGTCAAACTTGTGGGCCGTGGGCTGGATGCGTCACGCACAGGCCACGCCCACCCCAGCTCCATGAATGGGGAAAACGTCGCAAAATGTCACGTCACAATGTGACAGGGCAAGTTTGACACCCGTGTTATATAGTAATCAAGAAATGTTATGGTAGATAACTCTCTATAGCAGATGTCTTATCAAAATGTGTTAGATAACATAATCTACAGCCTCCAGAAGTTGAGAGTATATGAAGCTTAGGGTTGAACTTCTTGGTGGCCCATGGGTTAGGACACAGTCCTGCAGGCTACTTCTACTGACTGCCGGCTGACTGCAATTTGGCAGTTCGAATGTCACCAGGCTCAAGGTTGACTCAGCCTTCCTTCCTTCCGAGGTCGGTAAAATGAAGGCCCAGATTGTTGGGGGCAAGAGGCCGACCCTGTAAACCGCTTAGAGCTGGAAAGCAGTATATAAGTCTAAGTGTTATTGTTAAGTGGGAAGGAAGGAAGGAAGGAAGGAAGGAAGGAAGGAAGGAAGGAAGGAAGGAAGGAAGGACGGGCTGTAGTGGCGTAATGGTTAGAATACCGACTCCAGAGCGTTACTACAATCAATGGGTGAACCTGAAGGGCCGGCCAGTGCCTCGAACGCCCCCCCACCGCCTCTTAGCGTAACCCTACCATCCCCCTTGCCTCATAGCGCCCCCCTAAGGCATCCCACCGTGCCCCCCAGGAGGCAGTACCGCCCACTTTGGGAACCACTATTCTGAACCCAGGGGTGAGAGTCTACCGGTTTAAACCGGTTCTCTAGAAACAGTTGTTATGATTCTGTGCAGTTCATAGAACTGGCAAATCGTGCCCCCGGATGGCCCCACTCCTATTCGCCCACCCCTTCCCTCCCCGACCAGTCAGTCCTTAAGGTATTACTTTTTTTTTCCTCCTTCCAATGATCAGCTGTTCCGACGATCAGCTGTGCCAGGATCCCCCCCTCGCTGTCTTTACTGCTTCACTCAGGAGGAGAAAAGGGGGCGCAGGCTGGGCCCCAGGGAAGGCCTCCGGGGTGAAGCAGTAAAGACAGAGAGGGCGATCCTGACATAGCTGATCATCAGAACAGCTGATCATTAGAACAGCTGATCGTCAGAACAGCTGATCGTCAGGAGGGGGTGTTTTTCCTCCCACAAGGTTTCCCTGAGGCCCAGGAGGAAAAAAAAGGGGGGTGGGTGCTGCAAAAAAAAAGCCACACCCACCCAATCACATGGCCATGCCCACCTAGCCCCGCCCCCAGAACTGGTGGTTTAAAAAATGTGAATCCCACCCATCTAAACCGCCTTCTAGCTGCCCTTCACCCACCAGGCCACGGTGATACGGGGGTCGAGGTAATTCAACTTAGAGGTGCCCATCGCGATCTGCTTGTTTTCCTCTTTGTCCATAGCCTGCAATTTCAGCTTCGCCAGCTGTTCTTCGATCTTCTTCACCAGTTTCTTTTTCTTTTCGACGGCACTGTTGCAAAACAGAGGCATCCCCTGTAGAAGTCTTTGTCAACCTTGCCCACTTCCAAGATGGGTGGGCTTCAAGCTCTCCAATTCCCCAGCCAACATGGGGAATTATTTTATAATTACATTTTAATAGACTCAAAGCCAGCATCCCCACAGATACGTGCAAAGACATATTTTTTTTTTCTTCCCACCCATTTTTTCCCCACAATTGCAGCGTTTTGCTTTTTTGTTGGATGAAATGAGCATTGATCCACTGGTTGTGACAAGAATTGACTGACTGGCCTGTTACCTGAGTTGGATTGTGTGGGCTAAGAGAAAGTGACTGGCTCACAGTTATGTAGCCAGCTTTTATGCCTAAGGCAGGACTAGAACTCACAGTCTCCTGGTGATTGTCTCAACGTCACCCAGACGGTTCTCATGCCTAAGGCAGGACTAGAACTCACCGTCTCCTGGTGACTGGCCCAACGTCACCCAGATGGTTCTCATGTCTAAGGCAGGACTAGAACTCACCGTCTCCTAGTGATTGTCCCAACGTCACCCAGACGGTTTTCATGTCTAAGGCAGGACTAGAACTCACCATCTCCTGGTGATTTCCCCAACATCACCCAGATAGTTTTCATACCTAAGGCAGGACTAGAACTCACCGTCTCCTGGTGATTGGCCCAAAGTCACCTAGCCGGTTTTCATGCCTAAGGAGGAACTAGAACTCACCGTCTCCTGGTGATTGGCCCTAAATCACCCAACCGGCTTTCATGCTTCTTGTGACTAGAACTCAGTCGCCTGGTGAATGGTCCAAAGTCACCCAGCTGGCTTTTGTCAGCATTTGGGGGGCTGACAGCTTCCGTGCCTAAGGCAGGACTAGAACTCACCTCTCCTAATTTCTAGCCTGGTGCTTTCACCACTAGACTGAACCAGTTCAAACGGACATATATCTAACATGCCGTTCAATGAGAATAAAGAGAGATGGCCATCGGTGAGATTAAACACCCCAGGCTTAAAAAAAAAGAAGCCAAGGTTTTCACTCACGCTTTTGACTTCGCCTCTTTCTTGCACTTGTGTTCTGCCCTGGCCTTTCTCAGCCTCGCTTTTGCCTCGGCCAGCTGATCCTTTCGGGCACCTATCTGGAAATACCAAATGAATAAGTCAAAACGGAGCCCTCTGTCCTGTGTAAACAAAGTCTCTGAAGATGAAACACTTTTTTTTAAGTTTACTTTATTGTCACTGCACCTCGTTAGAACAAAATTAAATATCCCCTTCACGGTAGGTCATGACTATGAAAATAAACACAAACACAACATTCTTCGCCTTCTATGCAATTGAAGTGAAAACCCCTGATATTGCATTAATATTGCACTATAATGTAGAACGCGGTAGACTCACTGCCCTGGAGTAGAAGCTGTTTTTCAGCCTATTTGTCCTTGTTTGTATTATCCTGTACCGGCTGCCAGATGGTAATAAGTCAAAAAAAAAAAAAGGGTGCCCAAGATGAGATGGATCTTTAAGGATGTTTTGAACTTTCTTAAGACAGCAGGAGCTCTAAAGCTCTTCCAAAGAGGGGAGAGGGCAACCCAGGATCCTCTGGGCAATGACATTAACCCACTCGGGTGCTGTCCTATCTGCCCCTGTGCAATTGGCAAACTAATGCAGAGGTGGAGTAAGTTAAGATACTCTCTCTGGTGCAGCGGTAGAAGGTCCCCAGCAGTTTTCCATCCAGTTGTTGTTTCCTGAGAAGCCTCAGGTAGTATAATCTCTGCTGGGCCCTGTTGACCAGGGCTGCAATGTGAGCCCCCCAGGTCAGGTCCTCTTTTAAGGTAACACCCAGAAACTTAAAAGTGGCCACTTGCTCCACTCGGTCTCCATGGATAATCAAGGGCTTGAGGTCTGATCTTCATCGAAAACTGGAAAGCGTGCAGAGAAGTGCAACATGGCTGGTGAGAGGCTAGTACACCTCAAGGAACCAGGTGCCTTTAGGCTTGAAAACCAAAATCTAAGGAGAGACATGTCAACAGCCTTCCTGATGCTTCTACTCCAGAGAAGGACGTGAGGATTTATTCTCCTAATAGAACAAATCGGTTATATTCTTCCAACAGAAGAGACAATTCCACCCTTTGTAGCTCAGGCTTGAATTGTGGCGTCCTTGGTGCTCTCTGAGCTCGTTGATTTTCTTGCAAACGTTTCATGACCCAGCTAGGGAACATCATCAGTGTTAACGATGGTGTTCAGAGCACTGATGAGGTTCCCTAGTGTGATGACCTGGGGTGTTTTCTTTTTTTATACCGGCCACAAATTGACCCCCTACAAGCCTCCAGCAAAATGCATGTGTCAACTCGTAAAACATTCCCACGTCTGTTTTCGAGTTGCCATAAACAAAGTGTGTTTTTTTTGGGGGGGGGGGTTGATCTGAAGGAGCAGTACAGCAGTTTAAAACCAGAAGTGCATTCCACTCTTATCTTACAAAGATTGTAGCTAAGCTACCGGATCTTCTGCCTGGGAAAACCCTTCATTGGAGAGAGTGATTGATGACACCCAGCCCGTGATACACCCAGCGGGGGAAACAGGGTCTCAGGTGACTGTAAAATGACATATGCCAGAGTTGGCTGCATTTAGGCTAATGCTGCCCCTAATAAATCTTTAGAATTTTTTTGAAGCTTGGCTCGAGGCTCATGATTTCATTAGGGCAATCTTGACATCATGGGTGCGTCCACCTCCTTTTCTACTGTCTCACCTTTGCCTGGAGGTTCTTCATGGACTTCTCGTAGGTCTTTGGAGTTGCTCGCTGGTGGTTGCACAAAATGGCCACGGCTCGGTTGGCTCGGTTGTAGGTGAGGAGCTTAGCAGCCAGGGAGTCCTTCTCTGTGGGTGCAAGGTGTGTGAGAAATTAGCTCAAGGGATCAAGATCATCAAAATCAAGGGAGGTACTAATCCCACTCTATAAAGCCTTAGTAAGGCCACACCTAGAGTCCTGCATCCAGTTTTGGTCACCACACTATAAAAAAGAGGTTGAGACTCTGGAAAGAGTGCAGAGAAGAGCAACCAGGATGATTAAACGAGGTTTGAGGCTAAAACATACGATGAACTGTTGCGGGAACTGGGCAAGGCTAGTCTAGTGAAGAGAAGGACCAGGGGAGATAGGAGAGCATCTTCTAATATTTGAGGGGCTGCCACAGGGAGAAGGAAGGGGTCAAGCTATTTTCTAAAGCCCCTGAGGGCCAGACAAGGAATAATGGATGGAAACTGAAAGAGAGATTCAACCTGGAAATACGAAGAAACTTTTTGACAGCAACAACAATCAACCAATGGAACAGAAGTTGCCTTCGGAAGTTGTGGGAGCTTCATAACTGGAAGCTTTCGAGAACAGACTGGACTGCCATCTGTCAGAAATGGTGTAGGGTCTCTGGCTTGGGCTGGGGGGGGGTTGGACTAGATGACCTACAAGGTCCCTTTCCAATTCTGTGAAATCTTCTAGTCCAACCCCAAGCAGGAAGTCCTATACTATTTCAGACAAACGGTTGTCCAGGCTCTTTTTAAAAGACTCCAGTGATGGAACGCACACAACTTCTGAAGACAACCTGTTCCACCGATTAATTGCAATCAGGATCATCAAACTGGTAGTGTCCTTCACAAGAGAAAAGTTTCCTGAAATGACTCTCCCAATCCCCGTCCCTTCTACCATCACAGGGAGACCAAATGCCAAGGAACTGACTAGGATGTACCTGCGATGTCTACAGGTCTGCTTCCCTTGGTGTGCCATAGGTGAGCAACCTGGTCTCGCACCAGAAAGATAAGTGGCTCTTCCCACAACATCAACCTAGGCCACCTCCCTCCACCAGAGCTACCTCACAAATGAGTGTCGCAACCAGGAAGGTTCAAAGCCAGTAGGAATCTGAATGCCTGCACAGAGCACCAACTCTTCTCCCTACCAAAGTGGTACCTATTTATCTACTCGCATAGAACAGTCTCGAACTGCCAGGTGGGCAGAAGCTGAAGTTGAGTGACAGGAGCTCACCCTGCCATGCAGTGCTAGGACTCGAACCGCTGAAGCAGAGACCATCTCCAGCATCATTAAGCCGCTGAGCCACCTCGCTACTGCTTGGAATATGAATCCATTTCTCTGTTCCATCCCCAAAATATGTCCCATTAAAAGTTCTAATAATAGAATATTTAGAATGTTAGATAACAAGGAATATCTTTGCTTTTTCTTTTGTTATCTGACATCATATCTATAAAGTGTTTTCTAGGATAGATTTGGTATGATTATATGATTTGTTATAGAATAAACTCCCTAAATTATAGTTATCTCATAAAGTATGAATGACTAAAATTATAGTCAAATGATTTTCCAATAGCGATAATAGGATATATAAGTTTGGATTGATAACATGAGTTATTATGCAATGTAACTGTAATTGAGACTATGAAATGAATGCACAAAACTGATGAACCAACCGACACGCTGTTTGTATATATGTATGGAAGAGAGCTGATGTTTTTATGTTTCGTTTGTTTTTAAAAATCAATAAAACTGTTTTCAAAAAAAAAAGAAAGTTCTCTAGAGGCACGGAAAAATTCTGCTAGGATTAACAGAGGCCCCAAAGCTGAACATCTCAGAAGGCAACGCCTCAATTTCGGTTTACCATTGGTCAGTGCTCCCAGCTGTTCCTGCAGCGTGATGGACGCATTGTAAGTCCGGAAGACTTTTGCTGTCAACCCATCCATCAGGTCCTGGAGATGTTTGTTCAGCGTTGCTGTCTGGAAAGCCAAGTGGGAGTAAATTAGAGAAGCGTCAGAATAGTCATGAACTGGCAAAAAACATGGGTAACAAGGTCAGCCAATGGGAGCTGAATTGGGGGCTGAGACCGGAAGGAGTCTGGGCGCGACTTAGCTCCGCGCTCACAGCTCCGAAACTGAGACTAATCTGCTCTGAGCTATGAAGTTGCTGTTCGTGTTTTGCTTGTAACCTTTACCACGTCGGAAGAATCTACAATTGGTATTGTAATCTTTACTTCAAGTGCTATTATGTATATAAAGAAGTTAATGAATCCTGCTGAATCAGTCGTGTGTGTGTGCTCTCTGGATTTGAATTTCTGCTGCAAACTCTTAACAAGAAGAGGAGCGGGAAAAATAGTGGCCCAGGTAAGAGCTCTCAGCTGACCGTCAATTTCTGGAAAGCGCAGGAATTTAATTCAGGCACACCCCTATCTTTTCTCCAGCTCTCAAGTAATTTCTCTTTCCCTAAAAGGTAGCTGTAGGATGAGCTAATTAGTCCACTTTCTGTCATCTTTGGTCCAGGAGAAAGCAAGCTAAAGAGTTTTGTGGTGGTAATGAAAGCGACTTCTGCCGTATGAATTAGGAGATGGGTCTCCAAACTTGGCTGGCTGGGGAATCCTGGGCGTTAAACGTCCACAAATCTTAAAGTTGCCAACTCTGGAGACCCCTAGACAAGGAGATCATGAGACTTTGAATTGAAATGCAAACGGAAGGTATTCAAAAAGAAAACTATCCCACATAATTGTGTTTTAATCTTCGTCCGCCACAGAACCCCAAACTATAAACATTAGATCCCCGTTAATCTCCATCCAGTCAGAGCTGAAGAAGCTTCTTGGATGAGAAGCAAAACATCTTCAAAGGAAAAAAACAAAACAAAACAAGGAAGTCCAGTTGCCTCTTGAAAAAAAAAAAAAGTACCTTTGGGACTTAGATCCACACTTGCTTAAGCAAACTGAACTATCAAATAATTTCACATCATCATTTATCAAGAAAAGATTGCAATGTGCTGAGATGAGTAGATTGACATTTGAAATTAGAGAGCAAGAAGATAAACAATTTTATATAATTTGGGACCTTTTCTATCAATGGCTGGATGATGAAATACAAAAATAGAATATTTAGAATGTTAGACAATAAGGAATATTATTGATTTTACTTTTCTTTTCTTTTCTGGTATTTGACATTATATTTATAAAATGTTTTTTCTTTTTTTTAGGATAGAATTGGTATGATTATATGATTTGTTATAGAATAAATTACTTTAATCATAGTTATCTCATAAGGCATGATTGAATAAAAGTATAGTCAAATTTTTTTTTTATATAATGACATGAGGATATCTAAGTTTGGATTGATAATAAGAGTTATTATGTAAGGTAATTGTAATTATGACTACGAAATGTATGCACAAAACTGATGAACCAACCGACAACACTGTTTGTACATAAGTATGGATGAGAGCTGATGTTTTTATGTTTTGTCTATTTGTTTGTTTGTTAAAAAAACAATAAAATTGTTTTCAAAAAATAATAATAATAATAATTTCACATCATCATGTCCTGGATTCCGGGATGGACTTCCATCCTCACGTTTCCCTCTGCCTCAGACCTAATGAAGTGCGAGAATGCAAACGTACCCTCAAAGATGACAGACCGGGGTACAAAATTCAAGGCAAGTCAACGGGCACTTACAGAAAGCTTATCAAACAGGTTATCACCAGGTTCTTTCGCCTCCATAAACAACTTCAAGTTCTTGAACACCTGCAGCAAAGGCAGAACTCACGGTTAAGGCCCTCAAAAAAAAAAAATATTTACAGCATCGGAAGCACCCGTGATGACCCAGGGCATGACACAAAAAATAACCAAGTCGCCAAAGTAGAATAAATTCCCTTTAATGCCTCCAACTTGGCCCCCAATGTCCCATTATCCTTGGATGGAGATCAAACTCTCCCAAAGACAGTCTACAAAGGGGCAACCACAGTTGGGAGGATGCCAAAACCTAGATAAGGCTCAACCAAGATAATGCACGCTTTGCTTCCAGCAAAGAGCCATGTGCAAACTCCCCAGTTATATCCTGTTCTTCATGAGGCAGCCCATGAAGGGGATCAAGGCCCTTTCCTCTCTCGTAAACCATGTTGCTCCCTTATCCGTTCCTGTGTGCCCTAGGATGAAGAGCGGGTGGGCTTGGGTCTTCCTCTGAATGCCCAGCCGGACTGTGCTCTTCCCCCGTTTCCTCCACAGCCACCGGAGCCACATCCCACTCCCTGTCAGCTGCTCAATCTCCCCCTCAGAATCAAACTCCAACAAGGGCACGACGGCATCACTGGATGCAGCGTCAGATCTTGTTTACCAAGATTTGAAAGAGAGACTCGGGGTAAGAGGGAAGAAGATCCAATATCATCGAAGGGTTGGAGCCTACCTGGCTGAAAATCAAACCAAGTGGAACAGTGTTCCACTGTTTGGAACAGTGAATTCAGAAAATGGGAGACGTACAGAGCAGTTCCATCTTGCGGTGACCACAAGGTGGAGGCCTCAGAAGAAAAAAAAAAATGTGTATCTTCTGGAGATCTTCAACTTTGGCTTCTAAATATTGTAGAGCAGGGGTGTCAAACTGGATTTCTTTGAGGGCCGGATCAGCAGTGTTCTCCTGTATGGGCCAGGGGTTGGGACAGATGCCTCCTGCTGGCCAAAACGGGGCACGGGGAATCCATGTGGGGCCTCCCCACGCCTCGTTTTCACCCTCTATGGCCTCCTGCAGCACTCTGCCAGCTGAAAACAGGCTGTGTGGCCTATATATAGATTCTGACCAAACTCTGTCTTCTTCTTCTACTCCATCCTTACTTGGGGAGACAAATGGAGAAAAGGTTTTGATAGCTCAGTCCTTCTCCAAGACAGATAATTCAGAACTTCTACCAAGTTGCCCAGAACTGACCTTCTGTTTCCAAGATCTCCAGTAGAAGGCAGAAAAACAAAGCTAGAAGGGAACTTGGTGGGTCTTCTAATCCAACTCCCTGCTCAAGTAGGAGACCCTACTCCAAGGGTCTTCAAACTTGGCAAGTGTGAGACTTGTGGACTTCAACTCCCAGAATTCCTGAGCTAACATGACTGGAGGAGGAATTCTGGGAGTTGAAGTCCACCCGTCTTAAAATGGCGGAGGTTGAAATACAGGCGCGGGTAGGCCTAGACCAAGGAGTCTGCAAACCTGGCAGCTTTAAGACTTGTGGACTTCAACTCCCAGAATCCCTGAGCTAACATGACTGGAGGAGGAATTCTGGGAGTTGAAGTCCACAAGTCTTAAAGCTGTCAAGTTTTAAGACCCCCCTGCCCTAGACCATGTCCAACAAACAGCTGTCCAGTCTCTTCTTTAAAAACTCCAGTGTTGCACCCACAACTTCTGGAGGGCAAACCGTTCTACTGATTGGCTGATCCTGCTGGAGATTTCCCCAGATAACGGGGTTCTTCTAGGTCTTTCGGAACGACAATTTCTATATTACCAGATCTCAGACTGGGAAAGGTCAAGTCTACGTTCTCAGGGTTTGATGCTCTTTGGAAAGCGCCCAGTTGGATCGGGCCACCTCCTGGCTCACCTGCTTCTCCACGGACACCTTGTTGTAGTAACGGATGCAGTCCTTGCCCAGGAAGTCAAACTCCACCACGTTCTCCTTGCCGCCCTGCCGTGAGTGCAGAGCGATGTGTTCTACTCGCAGAGAACAGCAGCCCACCGTGTCAGCCGTCTCGCCTTCCTCCTTCTCGTTTCCCGCCCTCAGGGCCAGCTGGAAAGAGGCAAAGAAGAGTGAGCTTTACTTTACTTCATTGTCATTGCACCTCGTATAACGGAATTAAGTGTCATCTTCATTGTACATCTTCTATCTATCTCTATCTACCTATCTTCTATCTTTATTTTTATTATATTATAATTATATTTATTATATATTATAATCATATTATTATATTATATTATATATTATTATATATAATTTTATATTATATTATAATTATATATTATTATACATTATATATATTATATATTATATTAATTATATTATATTACATTACGTTACGTTATATATTATACTCAGCATAACTCTGGAACGCCTTGAGCAATTTCAACCAAACTTGGTACACAGATGACTTACCCTCTGGAAACAAATACTGTGGTGGGTAAGACACCCCTAACACCCCTCGGGGTGTGTAAATGCCTTAAAAATGGCTTCTGTCATGATAACTGCTTCACAGGGCTGCCTCTTGTGGAGGAACAGAAGAATTGCAACACTGCGCGACACAGTACAACACCATGAGTCCCGACTACAGAATTTTCCTGTCTAATACAGGATTAGGATAAATAAATACCCGGCCAACGCCAGGTTATCAGCTAGTTATACATAAACACACACACACATACATACATCCTTCACACTCTGTAAAACTGAATTAAAAACCTCTGATATTGCATTAATATTGCACTATACAGTAAAATTCAATAGAGTTTCTTGCCCTGGGATAGAAGTTGTTTTTCAGCCTGTTTGTCCTTGTTTTTATTATCCAGTACCGGCTGCCAGATGGTAATAGTTCAAAAAAAGGGGTGCCCAGGATGAGATGGATCTTTGAGAATGTTTTGAACTTTCTTAAGGCAGCGGGAGCTCTAAAGCTCTTCCAAAGAGGGGAGAGGGCAACCCGTGATCCTCTGGGCAGTGATGTTAACCCTCTGGAGTGCCGTCCAATCTGCCATTGTGCAATTGGCAAACCATACAGAGGTGCAGTAAGTTAAGATACTCTCTATGGTGCAGCAGTAGAAGGTCACCAGCAGTTTTCCATCCAGTTGTTGTTTCCTGAGAAGCCTCAGGTAGTATAATCTCTGCTGGGCCCTTCTGACCAGGGCTGCAATGTGAGCCCCCCAGGTCAGGTCCTCTTTTAGGGTAATCCCCAGAAACTTAAAACTGGCCACTTGCTCCACTCGGTCTCCATTGATAAACAAGGTCTGGACGTCTGATCTGTTCCTTCTATATAGTCCGCTATCAGCTCCTTGGTCTTATTGGTGCTGAGGACCAAATTATTGTCTCCACACCACGAGAGTAGCCAGAGGGTCATTTTTTCCAAGAAAAGGGATGCTCTCAGAACTTGGCTTTTCACATATGTGTATCATTCATTTTATTTTATTTTTTGATGCACCTTTTTAATTCTTCGATTGTTTTGTGTTCTGTGATTTTTTTTTCTTTTTAGCTCTGTATTTTGTATGACTTTATTTTGAATCGTGTGTGCGCGCGTGGGTGGGTGTGGTTGTGTGGGTATGTATTTCTCAGGATCTCCTTGTTTCTTACACATCTTTTGGAAAGATGTTCTTTTACCCAACTAGGTAACGTCATCAGTGCTAGAAAAGAGTGTGGTTGGTGGAATGAAGAAGAAAGGAAGAACAGAGGAGGAGGAGGAGGAGGAGGAGGAGGTGGTGGTGGTCCTTGGTGATATCTGAGTTTGATGTTTTCTTGCAGAT